GCCCAGAGGCCACTACACAACCTGCCAGGACTGGAGGCTGAGCTGCAGAGGCTGGATAAAGAGGATGAGGCAGCTGATGCTAGTGAGGAAACTGTAATTGCACCTCCTGTGTCATGTTCCCTCTGTTGTGTCAGATTGTGTTTCCCCCAGTAATGTCACCCCTGAGTCAGAGTCCCTCCTGTCCCTAATCCTACAGTACGTAGATACCTCCAGACTGGCGGAAGCTGCTGGGGGGGCTGTGGTTTAGCGGATCTTCCCTCTCGGCCTACTCCACCTCCGGTACCTGTCCCCCTGTCCAGCAAGCGCAAACGTGGTCAGGAGGTTGTTGGGGGTGCCGGATGGGGGTGGAGCCGATGGGGCTCAGGGAGGGGTATCCATGTCCCATATCTCACCTCCTGCTGGGGGGATTCGGCTGAATGAAGGGTGTGAGAGGGTGAAGGAGAAGAGGAAGAAGAAGAAGAGGAGGAAGAGAAGAGCTGTCCCTCTTCCTCAGAGATCAGATCCAGGAGGGGTCCCTCTTGGCAATACTTTTTTCAGTTTTGTCAGGTGATGAGATGGTATCGGAATATATTCTATTTCTCTATCATCTATGGTATGAGGGGGAGTCACATACTCTGAAGAGAGCTGTTTCGGGTGATGAGAGTGTGGTAGAGGTTAAGAAACAACTACCCCAATCATCCTGATGGCAGTTCCCACTCATGTTAAAAGGTGGCGACCATTAATGTCGCCAGCATTAAATCTGCAAGAGCTCGTGATACGGCCTTATCATTTTTGCTCAGCGAGTTTTGATGCTGAGATTTTATTTTTTGCAAGAGACCTGAGCTCAATACATTGGCCGATGTCTATCTAGCAAAAAGGGAGTGGAGATGTGGTCCCTCCTTTTGGTCTCTTGCGGCTGGAACCTTGCAGCGGAGTTGCGGTCCTTTTTAAAACCGATATGGTAAACGTGCCGGCGGGTAATTGAGGTAGAAATGGGGAGATGCATAGGTCTTAGATGTCTCTGTTAGGGGGCAGGACCTGCGCCTGAATCAATATCTATGGTCCCCAGTCAAAATGGGGCAGGAAATGCCTCCTCACAAAGATCAAGCCCTTCCTTTTTACGTCCCAGCAGGTTGTCTTTGGAGGTGACTTTAACACCATAATTAGGCCTGAAGACAGGAGAGGCTCCATAGACAGGCTGGGTTATGATAGCGTTTTTTCTCAGAGATTTGGTTAGACAGGCAGGCCTGGGTAGAATGTGCACATTAAGCACTGCCCTGGCAGCACGGGGTTCACATTTCAGAGAGGGAATAGTCATAGCAGGATAGACAGGTTTTTTTTAAAGGAGAACTCTGCTTTCTCGGCTCCTGAGTTGAAGGCGGTGGAGTTTCTCTGACCACTGTATGCTGTCTGTGACTCTGAATGCCTCGGACACTCCACCCAGGGAAGGGTGTTCTGGAAACTGAATTCGGCTCTCCTGGAAGATGTAGAGGTAAGACAATCCTTTGAGGATTTTTTCAGGCACAGGTTTCTATTCTGGATTTTTTGCAGCAGTAAGTCAGAGTGGTGGGGAGCTTGTGAAACAAAGGGCGATTGGACTTTTCAAGGCATAAGTAAGAAGAAGCAGCTTGGTATGTATATTGCCTACCAGCATTTGCGAGGAAGCTTGAAGCTTGGATCGTCTTGTCTCGTATGGAGGAGATCCAGGGGAGATCTCTGAAGTGAAACTTCTTCTTAGGAAGTGTCAATACGACCGGCATGCCTCCTTGATTCTGGAGAGGGATTATGGGAAATATCACTCACCTGATCCTTACCAAACTGTAAGCAAGGCAATAGCAGTTAAGACGGTCATTGGCCTGAAAGACAGTACGGGTTCCCTGATAAAGTCCAGATCAGGGATCTTGGAGATCTTTGGGTCGTATTATGCAGACCTCCTGGGAAGAAAGGACCTTAACCGGGACAGGATGGAAAGCTTTCTGGATTCTACTCCAGGATTGGGAAATGGTGCATTGCTTTTGATGAATTTGACAGAAACCAATTTCAGCGGATGAGGTAGTTCATGCTATAGACAAGCTGGCTACCAAAAAATCGCCTGGGCCAGATGGATTGACAGCTGAATTTTACAAGTGTTTTAAGTCCATTCTGGCTCCCCTTTTTAGCGGAGGTTTTTAATAGCTGTCTAGAAGAGGGTTCGCTCCCTCCCTCCATGAGGCAATCTGCTGTGATTCTTCTGTCAAAAGGTAAAGACCCCTCAATAATTGAGAACTGGCGCCCCATCAGTCTTCTCAATGTTGATAGAAAGATCTTGGCAAAGATTCTTTTTTGGCGCTTGTCGTCAGTAGCAGGCGATTTGTTGTCCAGCCATCAGCACTGTTCGGTCCAAGGTAGAAGTACCTTTTCAGCGGTTTTGGCTATCCGGGAGGCTTTGGAACGATGCAGGGTTGCTGGATGGAGAAAGTACTTGCTGGCATTGGATCAGGCAAAAGCTTTTGATCGAGTGAATCATGAATATCTGTGGTTGCTGCTTGGTAGATACGGCCTGCAGGGGAGGTTTATAGATTGGCTGAAGACATTATATAAACGGGGCTGAGAGCTTCCCGCTTGTTAATGGTTGGGTTGGGCGGCCTTTTGAGGTCGGCTCTGGTGTGCGCCAGGGATGTCCTTTGAGCCCCCTGCTATATGCTTTCGCAATCGACCCCTTTGTAAGAAGGCTAGAGGGCGCATCGTTGTGCGGGGTGCCTCTGGGCATTGCTGGTGTGCCGCCTTTGAAGGTCGTTGCCTATGCCGATGATGTGTCTGTTATTATCTCTGGGACTGAGGAGGCGCAGGAGGTGGTCTCTGTGATAGAGCAGTACACGGAGGCTTCTGGCTCTAAAGTCAACCATGAAAAGAGTGAAGTTTTCTGGATGGGCGAGGAGGGTGAAAGCTTCGAACTTCCGGATGCCTTCCCAGAGCCCCAGCAGGAAATTAAAATTTTGGGCATCAAATTTGGTCCTGGTGACTATGGTCATCGAAACTGGGAAAGCAGGTTGGTAGTTGCCAATGCCAAAGTAGCAAGCTGGAAGAGATGGAGGCTTTCCTTGAGAGAGAGGGTTGACTTGATCAAAACTTACCTGATCCCGATCTTTTTATATGTCAGCTTCGTCTGTATCTTGCCGGTATCTCTCTATGCATGGGTCTACAGCTGTTTTTTTCCAACTGTTATGGGGAAACAGGCTGAACCTGATCAAACGCAATGTAACTTACCTGTCCAGGCGGGAGGGTGGCCTAGGAATGGTCAACCCGATAGTTTTCTTTTCTTTGCTCTTTTTAAAGTACAATCTTGGTAATATGTTAGCAGAGACCCCGCCGGGTGGGTGGGTATTTTTCAGTCTTGGTTTAGGCCTTTTCTGCATTGCTGGGAAGATGGCGGCCCAGTGAAAAGTCTGAGAGTCCGACATGGCAAGCTCCCGGCTTATGTTGCCCCGTGTCTGAAAATACTTCGGCAGTGGCAGGTGACAGTGGAGGATATCAGGTCCCTTCCCAGGAAGCTTCTGGGGGAGAGGATTTTAGGCTTCTGCTTTCAGTGTGTCACTGGCCTTAAAGGATTGCCCAGGCTCCGTAATGAGGGAGGGGATTGCGTTTAATTAACTTGGAGAGAATCCCTTTGAAGTTTAGGGATCAAGCCTGGCTCGCTTTCCATGGAAGGCTCTATGTGAGAGGGAACCTGAAGCACCGCCCTGTGATGATCGAGATTGTCCTAGAGCAGAGTGTGTTGGTAAAGGTGGAGTCTATGGACCACTTTCTGCTTCTGTGTCCCTTTAACATAGAGGTGTATAAAAGGGTGGGGAGGGTTCTGGGCATCCCCTTTCTCTATCGCATGAGTTATGCAGAGTGGGTGTACGGGGCATTCCCAGCTCACTGGGACTTTGATTGGATACACTTTTTCTAGTTAGTATAGTTGTCCGTTACTTCACATGGAACGCACGGTGTCAGATTACCATCCGGAAGAAAGTCCTCCCTGTAGAGGTGGTGGTGCACGATATTCTGGGTGAGGTTGGGAAGATTCGGGGTCTTGAGAAGGGCAGGGAGCCTCGGGCGGGTCTGGATAAGGGCGTGGAGGAATATCAGACCTGCTTTTGGTGAACTGTCCATCTCTGGGTGAGGGGCTCTTTCCTTATACTGTTCTTTTCACTCCCGTAGTTTTTGTTGATTAAGATCTTTTTTGAAGAAGGGCTGCATGCATAAGGGGGGCGGGGTGGTTCTCTTGACCTCACAGGTTTGATGTCTGGTGTAGTGATGTGAGTGGTAGTACGATTTATTTCCCCAATTATGTCATGTTCATTTCTGAGACGTTTGCTTTTGTCTGATAGCAGATTTTGCTATGTTTATTTTCGTTTTGCTGTAAATATATAATTTTTTTATATTCTGTATAATATTTTATGTTTATTGATTGCGAGACTTTTAATAAAGAAAAATTGGGAAGAATGCTCCTTACATTGATGATCAGTGTGAAGAATGCTCCTTACATTGATGATCAGTGTGAAGAATGCTCCTTACATGCTGGTCAGTGTGAAGAATACCTTACATTGGTGATCAATATGAGGATTGTCCCTTTACATTCAAAGTCAGTAGGCTGAATTCCCCTTACATTGATGACCAGTGGGAAGAATACCCCTTACAGTGGTAGTGTGGGAAGAATGCCCATTACATTAGTGGTCAGTGGAAAGAATGCTCTTTACAGTGGTGGTCAGTAGGAAGAATGCCCATTACATTGGTGGTCAGTGGGAGAATGCCCATTACATTGGTGGTCAGTGAGAAGAATGCTCATTACATTGGTGGTCAGTGGGAAGAATGCCCATTACATTGGTGGTCAGTGGGAAGAATGCACTTGCAGAGATGCCTTACAGAAAGGTAAAATGGTCATTGAGATCATACTGTTGGCTCTGTCAAGTGGCATTGGCACTGGATCTATGCAGGCACCATCAGTGGGAAGAATGCTCCTTACACTGGTGTGTCAGTGGGAAGAAAGCCCATTACATTAGTGGTCAGTGGGAAGAATGCTCCTTACATTAGTGGTCAGTGTGGAAGAATGCCCATTACATTGGTGGTCAGGGGGGAGAATGCCCATTACATTGGTGGTCAGGGGGGAGAATGCCCATTACATTGGTGGTCAGTGGGAAGAATGCCCATTACATTGGTGGTCAGGGGGGAGAATGCCCATTACATTAGTGGTCAGTGGGAAGAATGCCCATTACATTGGTGGTCAGTGGGAGGAATGCACTTACAGTGATGCCTTACAGAAAGGTAAAAAGGTCATTGAGTTCATGCTGTTGGCTCTGTCAAATGGCATTGGCACTGGATCTATGCAGGCACCATCAGATGGGAGGTCAACCAGCCACAGCTCAAGGAACCCTAGCAACCTCTGGATTTTTTTTCAGGAGTCAACTCCATTGACTACAACTGGAGAAAACCTGAAAAGTTAGGTAGCAGCTGTGATTTGTAAGGAGCTACCTAAGATTTGTTCAGCCTTGACACAACCCTTGCAGTGGGAGGGGATGCCCCATTGCAAGGGAGGGCTTTTTCTTTCCCAGGAGTTCAGCTTTAAACACCATGCAGCTAAATACAATCACAATGAATAACAGATCTTATTATGTCAAGAGCTTAGCACATTTTTAATATGAATAGTCCAATGTGCATTTTGATCCCAAATAAGTGTACATTGCTGAAGCCAGCAGCCAGACCCCCGTAAGAACATACTGTCAGCACTGCCATTCTTGTATATCAATGCACTACTGCCATGGAGGAGCATACAGCTATCTCACTCTACAGTAAACCCCATACACAGGATATGCCTTTATAATAACAATCCTACAATGAGAACAGTGACAATCCCAGCCATTCCTTTTATTTTATGTGTAATACAAATATCTAATCAATGCTCAGTGCCAATCTGACAAAACGATTTTCTGCTGTGACAAATGTGTTGACTGTCCTGTGTGTATTAGAAATAATACATTGAATATCTTTTCAGCTTCATAGCACAAGACGGATGAAACAAAGGCGGCAGGACTGCAGCAAGGACCTTGACTGGCCATGGTGACAGATACTGGAAATGTGAATGATACCGGTCAGATCTCCAACTACATCAACAGTCTGCATAACACAATCAAAGAATACCCCCCCCATCCTCCTCCCAGAGCCAGGACCTGGAATGCACGGACGGGATGGATTAGTATAGGGGAGGAAAAAGGGGCTTTGTGTGAAAACTGGGAAGGAGGGATTATTTTGGAAGCTATAAAGTGAGAGAAGAGAACTGCAGCAGCCGAGACCTGGATGGGCTGAATATGATGAACAGTATGAGAGTTGTAGTCCTCCTGCCTTAGACTCAGTACTAACATTTCCTGTGATTATTAATACCACATTGTGACGTCATTATAATGCAATTGATGGCGAATTGTGATACCGAAAATATGGTTTCCCCTTCCTATTGACTGTACATACAGTATAATTATATGCATTATTTATGAGATTATTTACTTTTGGTTATCTGTTGGGGGTCTGTTTCATATTTTAATTTAACATCTTAAGGATGAATATTGACCCTTTAGAAATGTATTGGAACTGTACTGTTTCCCTTTATTTTGTAAAGGGCTGCACAAACTGTTGGAGTTATAGAAAGCCTGTATTATAATAATATTAATAATAATTCTAATAATAATAATGTCTGACCTTGGACGATACAACTATATCCATGCAGGGGTCCATAACTAGAAATGGGGTTGGGTATAATTGGAATATGTAAGATTTTAAATTCCTTTAAGGGCCGGTTCACACCACATGCAGTCCAGTTCTTTTTTTCTGCATCAAAAACGCATGGATAGTAAGTTACATGGTTTCAAATGGCATAGTTTACACCAGTGCAGTCAATTCCAGCTCCAGGAAAAAAAGTAGAACATGCTGCATTTTATCTGCACTGTACTATACTGGAATGGGGTAAAACATACATGTCCTTATTTAAGGTGAATAAAAAGAGGAAAAAATGCACCAGAATGCATAAAAAAAACACTGGAACACATCAAAAATGTGCATGCAGAAACGCATCTGGAATGCATCTGGACTGCGCTTCTATGGTGTAAGCCGGGCCTAAAGCTAAACTCTAGGCAGATATAAATGACAATTTAATAAAGCTCTGTAATTATTAATACATCAGTAAATGCATTTTTTTTTTAAATGCAAGCCCTACAAGTACATGGATTTGACCCAGTGTCAGCCTCTTGCAGTCCATGTAAAGCAGGGCAATAGTGTGAAAGTAAAAAGCAGTATAAGGAGCCAATCAGTCCATGTGATGACAAGCAGCATGCTGATAGCAGAAGAGAGCAAAGTGAAAGAAATATGAGCTCATTAGTGTGCTGCTTCTCCTTTCACTGTCTAGTCACAGGCTGGTGGTAGGTTAAGGGTGACCTGGGCTCACAGGAAGTAGGTTGAATGATGTGTGCCATCAGACTGAGTCCATCTAGTGACAAAACAAAGTACAGCAAGGGAACTCTCTGGATTGAAGGTGAATATTGCTGCAAAAGCTAGTTTGGGAATTTTACCTTCTAATGGGCTGTTTATTAGCATGTTCCTTTAACTTTTCCTTTGAATTTCTGATACTATAATGTTGATTAGCGTTAAGAAAAATATTTTGCTAAATGTGTTTACTATGATTAAGGGACATACCCTTCAATGGAAATGCAGTGATGTTTTCAGAGGCTGATGGAGACTGTTAGTCACTGTCCTATAGACATGCAGGTCTCTTGCTGTAAGCACTGAAGGATTGATTAGTCATGGAACTATTGGAATGACAGCAGTTTTTCTATGCAGGTCAGTGGACGTTTGACTGCAATACACGTGTGGAGCAGAAATCAGAAAACAATTGAATTGGTCACAAAAACAGTCCAACATTCAAATCCTTGATATTTCTATAGCACTGTTCTATTGCCAGTTTCATCAGGCCTTGAATGGACAACCTCAGTCTAAGAGATTTTACCAAGAAAGAAGACATACATGAGCCTTGCAGTATCCAGATAGTGTGGGGTTTAAGGATTACACAATGCCAAGTAATCTGAAGTGACACATGATGAAAATAATAACTCATTAAAAAGGAATAAACATACGCCCATCTGTTCAAGACTCCTTTTATTGTATATATTTTACCTAATCCAGCCTGGACAAACCCATACCATTCGGCATACTAATGGTGGTCACAAAAAGAAGTATCAAATCAGCCTTCTGCAACCTTTTCCACCCATAGAAACCCCTAAACAATGATGTCTTGGGGAACACCTATGTAAACCAATTCATTGGAAGTTTGTGGGAAGAATGGCCATTATAATGGTGGTCAGGGGAAAGATGTTTCTTACATTGGTGGTCAGTGGAAAGAATGCCCTTTGAATTGGTGGTCAGCAAGAATATCCCTTACATTGGTGGTGATTGGGAAGAATGTCCCTTACAGTGGAAATAAGTGGGAAGAATGTCCCTTACAGTGGAAATAAGTGGGAAGAATGTCCCTTACAGGAGAGAAGTGGGAAGAATGTCCCTTACATTGATGGCCCGTCAGAAGAATGCCCGTTAAAGTGGTGGTCAGCAAGAATATCCTTTACATTGGTGGCCCATGGGAAGAATGTCCCTTACAGTGGAGATAAGTTGGAAAAATGTGAGAAAAAATGCCCGTTAAAGTGGTGGTCGGGAAGAATTTCCCTTACATTGGTGGTAATTTAGAAGAATGTCCCTTACAGTGGAGATAAATGGGAAGAATGTCTCTTACATTGATGGTCAGTGAGAAGAATGCCCGTTAAAGGGGTGGTCAGGAAGAAATTCCCCTACATTGGTGGTCATTGGGAAGAATGTCCCTTACAGTGGTGGTTGGTGGGAAGAATGTCTCTTACATTGGAGATCAGTGGAAAGAATGCCCCTTACAGAGGTGGAACTGGGAATAATGTTCCTTACATTGGTGGTCAGTTGGAAGAATATCCCTTACAGTGGTGATCAGTGGGAAGAATGTCCCTTACAGTGGTGGTCAGTGAGAAGAATGCCCGTTAAAGTGGTGGTCAAGAAGAATTTCCTTTACATTGGTGGTCTTTGGAAAGAATGTCTCTTACATTGGAGGTCAGTGAGAAGAATGTCTCTTACACTGGAGATCAGTGGGAAGACTGCCCCTTACAGTAGTGGTCAGTGGGAAGAATGTCCCTTACAGTGATGGCCAGTGGGAAGAATGTCCCTTACAGTGGTGGTCAGTGGGAAGAATGTCCCTTACAGTGCTTGTCAGTGGGAAGAATGTCCCTTACAGTGATGACCAGTGGGAAGAATGTCCCTTACAGTGGTGGTCAGTGGGAAGAATATCCCTTACAGTGGTGGTCAGTGGGAAGACTGTCCCTTACAGTAGTGGTCAGTGGGAAGAATGTCCCTTACAGTGGTGGTCAGTGGGAAGAATATCCCTTACAGTGGTTGTTAGTGGGAGAGAATGTCCCTTACAGTGGTGGTCAGTGGGAAGAATATCCCTTACAGTGGTGGTCAGTGGGAAGAATGTCCCTTACAGTGGTTGTTAGTGGGAAGAATGTCCCTTACAGTGATGGTCAGTGGGAAGAATGTCCCTTACAGTGATGGTCAGTGGGAAGAATATCCCTTACATTTGAAGATCAATGGGAAGAATGTCCGTTAAAGTGGAGGTCAGTGGGAAGAATAAGTGGAAAGAATTTCCCTTACAGTGTTGGTCAGTGGGAAGAATGTTTCTTACATTGGTGGTCAGTGGGAAGGATGCCCCCTTACATTGAAGGTCAGTGAGAAGAATATCCCTTACAGTGGTGGTCAGTGGGAAAAAGTGGCTTTGGCCCTGAAACTATGCAGGCACCATAAGATGGAAGGTCAATCCGTGACAGTTCAAGGAACTCCTAGCAACCTGTGGAGGAATCCTAGGATTCCATGGAACTCAGATTGAAAATGGCCGTTACAAAGGCTGTAGCTGGGGTTTATACTGATTTTCACTCCTATATTACCAATGCAATAATAACAAAAGTCTTCCAGAATGCTGGACAATTTCTGATACTCAAGATCTACTTGAACAACCAAGGTCAGATGACTAAAGTTGTATCAATCTACTGAATGCCATTTCTTTTCAAGCAGCCAATCACAGTTATCCTTTTTTCCCCCAGAAATCTTCCATTTACAACTTTTAAAAGAAGAAGCAATGACATGGAATACTGAAGTCAGGACTCAGATTCACCAGAATTATTTGCATTCGCCGCAGCAAGCATATAAACGCATGGCATGTATGCATCAAAACATAACTGATATATTTAATATGGAAAATAGTTATATTCATTGCCAAAATACTAGTTACCAAATGAAGGTTGGTGTCTACAAACCTCCCCTCACGGGTGGGTTATATCTGCACCTACAGCATGTGGAGGGAGAATAGTTCCACAGTCGTAGTCGCTACATGCGATCGCCAATCTTGCAATAGGTGCCCACCGGTTGGGTTATTCCTTTTTGCCATTTTTTTTTATTTTTCCAATCTGCAGCTTGCCTTTTAGGTGCCAATAAACATGAGATGAGTGTCACACAATCCATGACCAAAGTGGGTGGCTTCTGTGCGGTACCGTGAGCCTCCACATTCCTGGTTGACCTCACGATAGCCCTGGCATCCGATATAATCGTGCTGATGTATATGTACGACTGCCAGGTGGTCAGATCTAGTGACCGCCATCCCATCCCTATGGTCACCTTGGGTCCCCTGCTGCAAGCCTCCATCTGCAATGTCCTGCAGCCAGGTCAGGCTGGGCTGCTGTGTTCATAGAAGGACAGGATTGTACTCACCAGTTGGCTGGATGAGCTGCAGAGAAGTGTGGAGCTGTCAGTGGTGTGCAGGCTTCCTCTGCGTCCTCCTCCTTCTCCTGCTTAGCCCAGCTGAGCTCAGCCACTCACAGCTCCTTGGATACTGTATGCTTCTAATCAGATGCTGGCAGCCAGCTAAGCCAGGAATGTGCTATGATGTGACTGCTGCTCAGCCCGGCTACTCCCCCACGGTGAACGTGTCCGCTCCCTCCGCTGTTAACTATTAATAGGCGGCAGCGGCAGTGCGGACACAGCGCAGCCCATCCTACGTGTGGACAGCGATCCGAGCTGCCTCCAGCCCCGCCCTCTTCTCTGATTGGCTCGCCTCCCGACTTGTTACATTGTATCACTCATCGCCTATGTACAGAGAGAGCCGGGGAGCATCCAGCCCCGCCCTCTTCTCTCATCGCTGACGTCCCAACTTGTTACATTGTATCCCTGTGTGTGCCTTCCATGGAAACTGCGGAATACAGCAGAGTGCCATCGCAGCTATAGGAGTCCATGGCCACGAGAGATACAGGGCAAGGGCCACGATAGATACAGGGCAAGGGCCACGATAGATACAGGGCAAGGGCCACGATAGATACAGGGCAAGGGCCACGATAGATACAGGGCAAGGCCACGAGAGATACAGGGCAAGGGCCACGATAGATACAGGGCAAGGGCCACGATAGATACAGGGCAAGGGCCACGATAGATACAGGGCAAGGGCCACGAGAGATACAGGACAAGGGCCACGAAGAGATACAGGGCAAGGGCCACAAGAGGATACAGGGCAAGGGCCACAAGAGATACAGGCAAGGGCAACGATAGATAAAGGACAAGGACCACAAGAGATACAGGGCAAGGGCCACAAGAGATACAGGGAAAGGGCCACAATAGATACAGGGCAAGGGCCACGATAGATACAGGACAAGGGCCACAAGAGGCACAGAACAATGGCCACAGCAGATACAAGACAAGGGCCACGATAGATACAGGACAAGGGCCACAAGAGGTACGGGACAAGGGCCACAATAGATACAGGACAAGGACCACAACAAAAGGACAAGGACCACAAAAGATACAGGACAAGAGCTACAAGAGATACAGGACAAGGGCCACAATAGATACAGGACAAGGGCCACAAGAGATACAGGACAAGGACCACAAAAGATACAGGACAAGAGCTACAATAGATACAGGACAAGGGCCACAAGAGATACAGGACAAGGGCCACAAGGGATACAGGACAAGGGCCACAATAGATACAGGACAAGGGCCACAAGAGATACAGGACAAGGACCACAATAGATACAGGACAAGGACCACAAGAGATACAGGACAAGGGCCGCGATAGATACAGGGCAAGGGCCACAAGAGATACAGGGTAAGGGCCACAAGAGATACAGGGCAAGGGCACAAGAGGTACAGGACAAGGGCCACAATAGATACAGGGCAAGGGCAATAGATACAGGGCAAGGGCCACAATAGATACAGGGCAAGGGCCACAATAAATAAGGGAAGGGAAAGACCTGCACTGGGCATTTGATGGCTGATATACTGTACACTGTATTGATCACTGCTAAAATGTAATTTCTAATCACTTATAACCGTCCCTGTATGTAAACTAAAAAAATCACATACATACTAGTCCATGAAGTCCAGCGTTGTCTTCCTTGCTGCCCAAAGTTCTTCCTCATCACCCTACTTCTGCACCCCATCTGGATTGTAAATTTGTACATGTGCAGATACTGTATATTGTGGGTCTCTGCCAGTTCTATGGTGCCGGCAAAGACCTGTGCTGGTATGTGCACACACAGCGGAGTTTGTGCTTGCCCTGATACACCACTGGTCTGCGCATACATGAGATATCACACTAAAATACTAAAATACTGAATCCTCGTGGGATGTGCCATAGACATCTGAGCAAGCTTAATTGACCCTAGTGTATGTGTGATAGGCAGGGTCAGGAAAAGGGGTGGGCAGCAGAGGCCCTAGTATCATGTGAGGTGATGGGGGACACCAAGGGGAGTTCCTAATGCTACAAGCTGACAGGAGTATCACTACTCCTGTCAGCTTAGTGCGGGTAGTGACAAGCCAAATCTTTGGAGGAGGAGAGAGCTGGGAGGAGGTTCAGGCTGTGCTCTCTTCCCCCTCTAGCTCCACACTCCTGCCGCTCCTGTCAGATTCATGTTTTGGGAGGGGGGATTTTAGTGTACAGGGGGAGGAGGGGGAATATTTGGGAAGAATTTTGGCTTGCAAAGGCAATTTATGCCTAGGGGGTAAGCGTGCAGAATAGTGCTTGATTTTTTTTGTGGGGAGGGGATTTTGCTGACACATAGGGGTTTATTTACTAAAGCTGGAGAGTCCAAAATCAGACTCCCTTCTGCATAGAAACCAATCAGCTTCCAGGTTTCATTGCCAAAGCTTCATTGAACAAGCTGAGGTTAGAAGCTGATTGGTTTCTATGCAGAAGGGAGTCTGATTTTGGACTCTCCAGCTTTAGTAAATAAACCCCCTAATGTTCATACATCTTAGGGGGGACTCAGTTTGGCATCTTTGCCCTGGGAGCTAGATGACCTTGTCCCGGCACTGGTGATAGGGACCTTGGCTTGTAAGCTCCTTGAGGGCAAAGACTGATATCAATGCACTGTGTAAATTGTCAGTGCTATATAAATTCATGCAATAAATAAATAAATTTGGCCTATATCTCAACCAGGAGCTTTTTATGAATGCCCCCCCTAATATAAATAAAAAACAGCAACTCTGGCATCAATATTCCCCTGTCCCCCGTAGTGCCTCTTCTCTGGCACAAAATGTCCTCGGTCTTCAGGGCTGAATGATGCCTAACTGAAGACTGAGGACATCCTGTGGGTGTAGGATGTCATGGACACTCCCTCTAGGAAAGATCACCACTCTGGATGCAGGGAGTGGATCTGATGTTCACAAGGACTAAATTACACTGATGAAGATCCAAAGAGAAAGAGGACCCAGCCCATCATGTGACCAGTTTGAGGACTTCTGGAAAAGGAAAGTATAAGAAAAAAAGTAAGCAAAAATTCCTTCTGAAGGGGCTTCAATTACAAAAAACCGCTGCATCTATTATATTGTGACAGCCTGCCCAGACAGCTGTTAAAATAACCCAAACTGCAGCTGGATTAGATGCCATTGAGGGATGTCAGGGGGGAAGCAGCTGATGGGGTCACCCACTGAGCAAATTTTGTCTAGTTCATCAGAAATCAGTTGAAATTTGAA